TCCATGGGGGTAGACTGATTTATAAACGTGCATTTCTTGCCATGTACAGACCAAAATGATGATGATGATGATGATGATGATGATGATGATGAAAGTAATGATAATAATAATAGCAGCAAACAGGAAAGAAATGGCAAGAGCAGGTCAATGTGCAGTACATCAGCAATCAGACTATATGCACCTGAGTGCGTGTGCATATTAATAAGCATGCAATCTGAAAAAGAAATTTGCATGTCTAATTTCACATTGATTTTTATGTATAGCCGGTCTAAATAAAATACTTGTGAACGTATTCCTTGAAAAGAAAGATACAAAAGGAAACTGTCGTCCTTCTCCTCTACTTTTTGCTTCAGATATGATCTTCAGATTTTCCAGATTTTAAACTATATTGCATCTTGGGGCAGAACTTCCTAAATGCAATTATTTCACAAAGTGTCAGTCTTCCTTTGTGCATAGCAGGAGCATAGCAAACTATATTTTTCTTTCAATTTGAGTCTGTCTGAATTCAATGGTGTCTACCACAAGAATGGCAAGAAGTATATTAAGGTTTAACAGGTACGTAGTGTGGTGAAATTCCCTAGTGTCCAAAAGCCAGGACAGTTCCTTGAAGCCATGCCAGGACTTTCTGGCCTTCAGTCTGTTAGGAAGAGCACCAGAGATAATTGCCTTGCAATGCCTTCCCCAACCGTTCCCTAGTCAAAAGCTGCTTTTGTTGTGAAAAGAAAGTGTTTGCTCTGCTGAAGCAGCTTTGTGCTCCCCCACCCCCATCTCCCAAGAAGCAGGGTTAGAGTCTGTGTGCAGGGACAGCTTCAGAAACAGTAGAAGTAGAAGAATTTCAGAAAATCCATGGCGAGAGGCATTGCCTTTTGCTCTTGGTGTGAAGAGAGGCATTGCTCACCAGGCAGTTGTGGAGGCCTTCAAAGCGCCTCCATGCCTAGGAAAGTGATACAGGCACAGATAATGTCTATGCTTTGGGGGCTTGTTTTGTCTTATTTATATTCTACATTCATTTTCCATCACTGTATGCAGTAGACAGTATATAATTTTTAACACACTTGTACATGCCATCAAGTCATCTCCAACTTAGGGCAACCCCATGAAGAATAGCTTCCAGTGTCCTGCCTCTGACAGCCCTGCACAACTCTTGCAAACCCAGGGCTTTGGCTTCCATAACAGAATCAACAGGTGCTTTCCTTTCGTCCAAAGTATCCTCCCATTTAATGGAAGGTTCCTTAGCTGGCATGGTATTGCTATACTGCCTCTCCTGTTCTTGCTAAATATTTCTGGTTAGCCTAGCTAATCAAGTTAGAATATATAGAGAGGATCCAAAGAAACATGTATTAGATACAGGAGAGAACCATGAGCAATCCGTTCATTGGCAGTTTTCCCTCTGCAATAGCAGAGTTGTGTCCAGTACCCTAGTAAACCATTGAGTTGGCTTCTGCCCTAGAACCTCTACCTGGATTCTCTCTGTGCATGTAATTATCTCAACCCAGAATGCAACAGAGAAAAAGCCAGAGCCCAGTGCTAGAGCACCTGCTTTACATGCAGATGGTCCCAGGTTCAGTCCCCTGCATCTTCAACTAGAACTGGGAAAAGCCCATCTGGCACCCTGAAGGTTGCTGCCAGTTGGCATACAAGATATTCAGCTAGATGAGCCAACAATCTGACTCAGTACCAGGCAGCTTTCTAGGGTTATGGTGGCCAGATTCCCATTGGTTGGCAGATTTAAAATATTGGCATCTTTCCCAGGATGAGATGCTGAAATGCCATACTTCCTGTGTCAGTACAGATTTCAGATGCAATAGTGACGAGATACAGAACAGTAGCTGCTTCTGCATATCTCTGCATAGCTTATATATGGATCTCACATAATATGGCAGTCTTCTCCAACCCAGGACATTCAAAATACTTTGGGCTTCAGCTCCTAGTATTCTTGACTGTTGATCATGTTGGCTGGGTTGACAAGCTCTGAAGGCCAAACTGTCTGGAAGGGACCAGGTGGTTGGGAAAGCCTTATAAAGGCCACAGTGTAGAGAGAAGGAATAATGTGGGCTGAAGAGCAGCAGAAACACTCTGCTGTAAGTATTCACTCACCTTCCCGCTTCAAATGTAAACCAGGTTGAATCTCTCCCATATCGCCGGAGGGCACTTAAAGGCCAAGAGACAAGCTTTACTCTGGGATTCTGAATGTCCCAAAGACAGATATTTTCAAAAGTTATCTGCAAGGTACATTCCCCATGCACATCTAAATTAGGAGATGGCATCAAATACACATTGAATCTCTCTAGGAAAAAAACAAAACAAAAATAAACCAGAATCCTTGCAGAATTAAATCATTGCAGTTATTACACAATGATATTAATATTTTAAAAGTTGTACACTATTTTCCATCATCCAAAGTGTTCTGCAATTCTCACCATATTTTTTCCCATAACATTTCTACAAAACAAGAAAGGGAGTCTACATGCTGTGGCAGAACAATACCAGACCAAGACACTGAAATTCTAGAATTGTACCACTTCAGAGGGATCTTATACATTTCAATGTGTGCCACCTTAAAAAAGGAAGAAAGGAATGAAATCATTGAATACTGAATAGGAGCACTTCGTTGCTCTCTGCCTTGACGTGCTAGTTGACTCCATGTAGCAAAATATAATATCCCAGCTGAACAGTTCTAGAATTGCACAACTCAGACTACCTCCATTTTTCTTTTTCAGAACATGTAATTCCCTTACATAAGAAGAGCCATGCTGGATCAGACCAAAGGTCCATCTGGTCCAGCACTTGGTAAACACAAGGGCAAACCAGCTGCCCACACGATCCCTCAAGCAGGATGGGTGCAAGACCTCCTGCCCAATGTCTGCCGCCATGCCACCTGCGGTAAAGGAGGAAGCACATAGTCCACATGGCTTTGAGCTGCTGATAGCCTCCTCCTTCATGAATCTGTCCAAACCCTTTTTAAAGCCATCCAGACTGGCAGCCATTGCCACTTTCCAAGGCAGCGAATTCCATAGTTTGACTATATGCTATGTGAGCTGTTTAGCAATGAAGAGTAGGCAGCAGCATTTAATCTAAGAAAGTTGTCCTTTTCAGGATCTCGGGAACTATTTATTCATCAGTTATGATCCTGGTCCTACTTCCTAAAGCAAATTCTACAGGAAACACCCAACTTCGTTATACAATAGGAATGGTATTGGTTGCCAGTTGAGTGCACATCACTTGGGACTGTAGCTTCAGTGGCACAGACTCCATGTGTCCATTTTAGTGAACAGACAAAGCTGCCATCCAGTTTCATGGCAGTCTTGAAGCTGGATCTAGCCACAGTGTAATGCTTCTGTACCACATGCATGTTGTAAAAACATCATCCTTGTTAAGGGTATATTTTCTCAGCATTTTAGAGCTTGGGTGAACCCGGAAGTCTCTTAACAGAGCCCATTCAACTTATAGAGGTTTTGTTTATTGAATATATGAAATAAGTGAATGTCCAAACAATGCTGGCTATAGCATGGTTGAATTAAGTGTTTTTAAATGACTCAGGAACATGGGATGACTTTTAATCCTTCTGTGTTATTGAGAGCATGCAAGCTGAAACGATTAACTCAATGGTGTTAAACCTATCTCATAAACTATAAAAAGAGAGAGTAGGGAGAGTGTAAGCTGGGATGCGACACAGTGAGCGGTAGTAAATATAGAACGCAAACACGCTTGTATGGAGGAATGTAGCACGCCGTGGCACTGGCCTCCGGCCCTTGAGTATTTCTGCACTGGATGAGCCTATTGCAGAGGCACCCTAAGTGTTTCTATTTGTAGCTGTGTATACAACATATTTACATACCACTTTGTTCCCTCTCTACACCGGAAGCCAGTAGGTCAGGTTCTCCGAGGCTAATATCATTCATCTGAGTCCCCAGGCACTCCACCTGCAAGACTTTGCACCATTCATCCGCTTCCAGTTCTGCATAGAAATTACCAAAAATCTGCATGTTGGGATGAGTCATACATTTAGAGTACTCTATGCAAGTGATTCATGTATATTTATATATGTGGAAAAATTCCATTTACACCGTTATGCCCACCTGATTCACAAGCAAATGTCTTGGATGTGTCATCATGAAAATAGATCCCTACAGCATGCTTCCTTGTGCCTTTTGGCAACCGTGATATATTCTTCACATGGTTAAGTTCTGTAACCTGCAATTAAGACAAATATTTAAAAAAAAAATGCAACAGTAACTTGCAGTCATCATTAAGACTGTTGTATAAAGAGCACCATATAGAATAGGACTGTATAATATATCAGCTGTAAATGACAAACCTCCAGACTTTTTGCTTTTGTTTCTGAATTGTAACTGCAAAAACAGGAGGGCCCCTATGCAGGTGGCAGACCTGTGCTGGTTCCAGCTTTTGGAGGACCCTTAGGTAAGACACGCTCAGTAGGCTTCCTTCCTTACAGAGGTGACCTTCTTGCCACCATTGACAGCAGTCACTACAACTCCTCATCCTCTTTCTCATGATTGCTACACCCTGCTTTCTTGACAGGCAGAGAGTCTGTGGTGCTGGCCCTCCTGCACCTCCTAAGTTAGCCTAGATGGCTCCTATGTGGAAGAAGTTTCTGTCCTATCCCTGTAGAGAAGTAAGATGCAGATTTCATGTCCAGTTAGCTTCTATACATAAAATGAGGTAATTATCCTGTCCTTCATCATGAAATGTCTTGGGTGAACTCTGCTGCTTGATGTGAAGGACGTATGGTTCAATCCAGCAGAGATGCTTTAAATGTTCTTAAGGGTGCAATACAAAGATGTTTTTAAATATATCTGTGGACATGTTACTTAAAACCTACTTTCTTTAATACATCTTAATTGATGCAATACATTCTGGCATTTATCCCCTTTGATAACAGTTGATATTTTCCATATAGCTTAAATCTGAACTCAGTTTCTTAACACTTTTAAAGTTCTTTATGAAGGTAACTGTATGTGGATGAAGCATGGGCTTATTGGCTGCCTCTGAAAGCTTTATGGTGTTTAGGAGGGAAATTGGTAATAAAAGAGAGCCACTACTCAATTTATTCACACTATCAATTCATCCTTAAAGGTCAGACACTGAAAGAGCAACTGCTCTGCAAAAATCTGAAAGGCAGACCAATATATTTCAACATACATTTTGCAAGCCTCGGTTCACATTTGAAGCTTCAAAGTCCATCCACCTGAAGAGTAAAATTGTTTTCACTGGGCTACTTTTGCTTCCACACATTTGAACTTCATGATAGCATCAAGGGAGAAGATTGCTCATCTCCCTTGGTCATTAGCAGTAGTGGTAAAGGGCCTGATGCGAGTATACACATTCAAAAACATCCACGTGAGCACCATTCTGTTTGCCTCAACAATTGCCTGATCCAAAGGCTTTGTGAGTCAGAAAACGTAGGTATTAAGATGTGATGTAATCAACATATAAGCAACAGCAACTGGGCATGAGAGAACTACTGGTGAGTTTTGGTAGGATCTATTCATTCTATTCTGCCAAAACGCCAGAGTAGATTATAGGATTTTATACTCGTTACATTTCCAGAGATGTCCAGCATAGTTTGTTGACCTCCCCAGGCTTTGCAAGTCCTCCTTGCATGTCCTCTGAAACTTCCAGGTCTAACATGATTCAGGATACATGAAAACCATGCTAGCCTCCGCCCACATGCACAGCTGTTTCCAATCCACAAGTTGTGGGATCCATGAAAACACCAGTCCATCACTGCACTTGTCCCTGGAAGAACGCCATTTTTGGCAGCAGGAGGAAATATGCACAGTGGCAACAGGGGAGAAGATGAGTGCAACACTGGTGGGGAAGGAAGTGGTGAGAACAAGGGTGGCAGTGGGGAAGGAGTGTGAGCAAAAACAGAGGAAATTTCAGGCATGAGGAGGTGAGCATGGTGGTGGCAGGTGGTGAGAAGAAACGAGAGATCCCCAGGGGATCTTGGCAGGCACTCGTGTGCCCCTGGGCATTGCGTTGCCAACTCCTGAAACAGAAGACATCTCCAAAGAGATGACCATCCTTTCATAGATTAATTCTACAGAATGTGGAACTTATATCCTCTGGATGTTCCCTCTCCACCACCCTTGTTACAGACTCCCTTTTGTAAAGTCAGTCACCTGGCCCAGAAACTGATGAGTTGCATCTCAGTGAGCCAGGATATCAGGTAGAGGAGAGAGCAAAAGCATCCTTTCTTCCCTGTCTCTACAGATCCTGCTGATGTTTCTCTTCTCTGCTGCCTGGCCTCATAAAGCCTTAAAAGGAAGAAGGTAGCATGGAGGGTCTCATGGATTAGAATGGATTCCTGTCTACAGAGAATTTTACACAAGCTCCTCTAGGTACTCCAAACCTTGACTGGGACAAACAGGCCTCAATGCAGTTGTTTTGGTATTTGATTTTAAAAGCCTGCTAAACCTCTGAGGGTGGCAATGATGGAAAACACACTCCATGGTAGTAGATTGAAAACTAAACTGAACAAGCTTGAACTGAGCCCTTCATTTCCAGGCAAATGCAATGAGGAGTTTAAAGGCAGTTTAAAAATAGGGATATAGAAACATATTTGATTAAGATTTTACCATGACCCTGGTTTGGACCCTGAATGGATGGATTAGCAGCCAAGCAGACAATGTATTTGGAAGATGGAAGCAATTTTTTTATACACCATTTCCCTTCTGCTCCCTCCCATTTTGGATAATTCCTCAACTGTCTGCAGCAGATTTAGGAAAGAGAGATAGGGCTGCCTAGAGAAAAGAGTAATGCCAAGAAGCGCTTCTGCCCTTCTAGCAACCTGAGCATCCTTGAATGCCACTCCATGGATACTCTTGCTGGTGGAAAGAAAGAATGCATCCAAGCTCATGTATCTACAGCAGTTCCATCACAGTAATCTGTTAGCATTATAAATCACCAAAGCAAGTGAGCATAAGTCAGATGAATGAGTGCAATAAATCACTAAAGTAACAAGGGGAAAAATAGTCGGAGAATATCAGTTCCAGGCTCTGTGGAATTGAACTGCTCCCAAATGATTACCTGCAATGCTTATTAAAACAACGTTGATTCCAATAAGGCCAATAAAGGTTTAGTATCCTGCACAATTCCTTCATCCAAGAAAAATAATGTGATTGCATGGAATGGCATAGTCTGTATGTTGAGGAGATAGCTTTATTTATAAGAACAGTGGGAACCAGTGTGATGCAGTGGTTACAGTAATGGACTGGGACTTGGAAGATCCAGGCTCTAGTCTCCACTCAGCCATGAAGTTCTCAGCCTAGCCTGCTATTATCCTAACCTGAAGATACTATAGATAGGATGGGAATCATGTGCATTGCCTTGTGTACCTTGGAAGAAAGGGTATGATGTAACAACAATAGCCATTTTTAAAAGTTGTGCATGTAGGAAAAGTAGAAACTCTATTGATATTGTGTGGGGTGTGAGTAATCCATCACAGGGGTGAGAATTCGTGGATTCCTTGGGCTCAGCTCCCTGGATTCCAGACTCCCTTGTTGCTGCCCCAAGTCCAAGTTTGTGGCAAGGACACCCAACATTTATGGGGCACTTAGCAGGAATCAAGCCCCACAAGCTACACAAGCAGTGTCCTCCTTCCATGCCAGTGCAGGAGCTTTTGTTTGTGATTCTCTACCCGATGGGGAAGAAGGATGTTTGCTTGGGGCTCACCGTGAATGGAGCCTGCATGACCACTGTGCAAGCAGCATTCCTCTTTCACGCCATGTGCAATGGCCTTTGGTTGTGCTATTGCACCTGATGCAAAAGAAGTTGATGGCTGCATAACCTTCATTGTGCAACCATTTGTGGACTACTTCTCAGCTTGCTTTCCAAGGCTGGGCTCAGCACAAGTAGAAATCCACAAATGTTGGAAGGACATATTCAGCTGAGCTTCATCCCAACCCTGCCTGTTGCCATTGCATGAGCTTTCATGTGGCCAATTAAGCCCACAACTATTACATGATCCATAATGCTGTTTTGTGGAGAACTGTTCTGCAAAGAACAACTCTCCAAGAAGCAAAGGAAGGCATGGAAAGGCCACACCTCCCAAGGTGACCTGCCAGGGAATTCTTGTCACAGATGTCACTTTTCAGTGCCAGGAGTATTCCGACTCAGGCCTGGGGATGAAATCCAGCTGGTCTGGGGACCAAATCCAGCCCTTTGAATTCTGTAGATGGCCATATTCCACAGATGGCCACAGTGTATCATCTCATTGACCCACCTAAATGCTGCCTAATTTGGGTGGTTTCCTGGCTTTTCTATGATTTCCAGAAGGTAAAATGCTCTTGCTAAGGTTTCTTTTTACTGGCAGTAAGAACATTTGTTAGAATTATTATTTCATTAAACATGTCTCAGCAAAACACAAAGTGGTATTTGTTGTTGTTGTTGTCAATTCTTGTGAGCTTCCCAGAGAGCTTTGGCTATGAGAAATAGAAATGAATATATAGAACATGTAGATTAGACACGGATTTAGATGTAGATATAGATGCAGGTGTAGATATAAACAGTAAGGATTAAAACATACAAAATGTATAACAATTTAAAACAGTTTGTTTTACAAACAATTTGTTTCTGCACAATTTTATTTCACAATATTCAGCATGATTGTCTCTCTCTGCCCCTTCAGGATGTCATTAAGCAACTATTGCACAGGCCTTTGACTATTACAAAACAAGGCCGTAAGCCTACTCAGAGACTTTGTTTCCCCACGGAAGCCACACAAAGTACAAATTATATAACAGGGTTGGCCAGAACAAGGCTCGTGAGCCTCACGGAGCTCTTTGATTTGATTTTATGGCTCGCAGAGGGATGATCGAAAGCAAGGAACGAGGCACATCCACTGGGCAATGGAGGACGAATGAGTGAATGGCAGCAGTGGCAGCCACGGGCTTTGCTGCTTCCGGTGGTGCTAAGCCCTGCACTCAGGCGCCAGACACAGTTGTTCTGGTTGACTGGTGATGGTCTCCCTCTTCTTGGGGCTCCTCTCATCAGCCCGTGAGGGGAGAGAAGAAGTGAGCCTAGTCCACAGTACATCCAGTGGGCATTGCAGAGTGAGTGGGCAAATGGTGGTGGTGGCGGCGGCAATGACAGGCCGTGATGCATTTCTTTTTTGTTAGTAAAATCAAAGCATCATACAATCCTTGCATGTCACACCTAACAGAGATAATTTCTACAGCCCTGACAATGTATCAGTCAGATTTTCAACAACTCACAACCAAGATGGAGACTCACAAGATCTCTACTAGCAGTAACTAGCCAGATAATTGCAGTGATTTCTCTTTTGTCACAACAAACAAAGAAACAAATATTTGTTTATGTTTTGTGGCCTTCCAACATATGACACGTCCCATATGTGGCTCTTCCATTGAGCAAGTATGACCACCTCATTATATAACAATGGTTGTTATACACAGGGCATTTTTTCACAGGAGGTGAAGCACCTCACCCTGGAGGAGTCTGATCAGGCTCCAAAACCTGGATGGAAACCTGCATGTGCCAGATTATGGGCTGAAAGTCCCCAGCCTTGATTTAAATGAATCACTGGCTTCATTGTTTTGCATTTGATTTTTGTTATCCTGCTTGAGAACCATTGGTCAAAAAGTGAGATATTATTCATGATCATGATGATGAGGACTCAGATTTCATGTGGCTCTCCATGAAACCTCCTGGCAAATCATTTGGCTTAACTGGCTTCTGTATCTTGCTGCAAATACCTTTCTGGTACCTAAACAGACTCTTTAAAAAATAGCATGATCTCATGAATGGCTAAATTCATGCTAGGGATCCTGAGTTGCAGACATTTTTTCCTGAACATGGCAACATCTAGCCTATGGATTATCCATGGGAATTTTTAAATGCCCTTTTTGAGGGGAAAAAAGAGAATATTGCAAAGGCTCTGATCTTATATTCAGGCCCTAATTCCCACATCATCCAAAGAGCAATACATGTACTACTCATAGTTTGCATTACTATGGAGAGAAAGCAGCATAAGATTTGCATCAATAATTTGTCAGCTTAGTATCATTACAGATGATGCACCTTCTGTGCTGAGCTGAAATTAAACTGCTCTCTATATATATCTCACACAATCCCCTACAGGAGATCAAATGAGGAAGAGGAAGAGATTTTTCGTCTCTTCTCATGACTTTCAAAAATGGCGTCACATAAATTACCATGAATATCTATTTCTAGACATGACAAGTGAAGGAAATATTCCTCAGGGTTTTATGACCAATCCTGTATAAATTATACATCAGAGAGATGGAGATGGAAGCAAATAGATTAAGGCAATTCGAATCCAGTATTCCCCTGAGGTTTAATGTTTAAACACCTCTCAAGCCAAATAAGAATGGATTGGCCACCAAAAGCTTATCTTTTTGCTCTCAAGCTCATAGACTCTGTTTGCAGTACAAAATCCCAATTTTCTAATATCTAAAGCTGTAAACCATCAAAGATTAAAAATTAAAGGATTCGCTATTGTTATCATGGGGCCAGAGGAATTATACATGTACTTTGTCCAGCACAGTGAAATACGCCTCCCCACAAGTGTTTTAAAACAACCACACAACACATGTCATTGGCTTTGGTTGTGCCTAGCAATGGTGATTATGTAAATACTGAAGAATTTGGATCTGTTCTATTGGTGCAACACCTGATAAACTCAGAGGCATCTTAAACTGATTCATGTGTCTGTTTACAGTTTCTCCAAAGCTCAGGGGTTTGCAAACCAATTTGATTCATGCCTCCTGCATGTACAGCCAGTTGTGCACTGGAAGGCCATGGCTCAAGGGTTATCTCAATTCATAGGGATGACGACATTAAGTGCCACCCCTCTCTGAGTCTTAGTGCAAGCTTCACAGTCTTTGGAGGTAAATGGCTTCCCCCACGTCATAATGTTGTGATGTGGTTGTACTGCAAGGCAGCTTGGTCTTGTATGGGCAATTAAGCCCTGTTATGACAAAAGGCCTGCTCGTGATGCTGGTGAAAATCACTAGAACTGTACAGTAAATTCCTCCCTGCGGTGGGGAAAAGGAACTCCTGGAAAACAATAAGTTGATGGCCTTGGGCTTTTCAAGCACAGTTTGTTCCCCTCCCTTTCCCTTTCTCATGCATTCTTGGGTCTCTCCAGTCTAGACAAAGTTCATTGCGCTAACCAGTACACTGTCATTTGGCACCGTTTCATAGGACTGGACCTCACTAGCAATGTGCCTGGCCTTTAATGATCAAGGGAGGCTCTTCCCTGTTTCACACAGAGGCATCTAGGATCCCAAGGAACCTTGGTAGTGGGATTGCTGGATACCTGTCACACCTGCTGTTCCGCATCCTTCCAAACAACATGGAAAATGGATTTCTAACTAAAAGGCTTTGTAATGTTAATGCTCACCAAGTGCAAAGGAATAGCATTGCAGAAGTCACTAGCAAAGGAACGGGCAAAGTTAGAATGTTAGCCATTTGAGAAACACAGCCTAGTGATAAGTCAATTCCAAACAGATTACCTCTCCTCCCTTCCAAACTAAAACTGTCAGGCCGAGAGAGACCTTCACCTGACATTTCACAAGTGGTATGCCCTCTTTCCTGGACCCCAGTCCCTAGATGCTTGCTCTGGCCCCTCAGCGCCATGTTCACTAAGTATCTGAAACTGATTGCATCTCAATGACTGCCTAGCTTATCTGTGAGTCCTCTGGCCTTGGTGGTTCAGCAGTGGATTGCAACCCCTCCTCCTCTTCAAAAAATGCTCTTTCAACCAGTTCCAGTTCCTACATTACCTCTGTGCAAGGCCCACTGTGTATGAGACATCTGTCCTCCTTTATAGAGAACACACCTCTGTCTGAAGGGCTATCAGAGAACAGTTGTAACTTCCCTTTAAAGATTTGGTCCAAGCCCAGTTGAAAAACAAAGAACTATGAGAAGCGAGGGCAAGAGCTTCAAGGTGCCCATCAATAGCAGCAGACGAAGAGCAGACAGCAGGTACACAGGACACCTGGTCACAGTCTGCCTTCTATGGTGAGAGATGCATTATAGCCCTACTAACATTATAGTAATAATTTCAAATGTGCATGTATGCATATAAATTAGCACAAGCAAATTTTATGACAGTCTTTCATATTCCTTTATGGTAATGCTTGTCCTCCTTTGGGAGTGATTTGTAATTAGCCATTGCAAACAGCATCCACTGTCCCAAACACGCTTCCAATATAAAAATACAATAGTGAAGATAAGAACCGGGTTTGGGTTTAGGCATATTGATTCACTACACAAAGTATTCCATGAGTAGCTCCTCTACCTCCCACTGCTTAACCAATCACTTAAACCCCGGAACGTGGAGCATCCTTGCTCTCAGACATACTGGAAACATCCCTCCGAATTATCTTGAAGATCATTAGGAAAGAAAAATAAAAATTAAGCTGCCAAAGTTGTAGTGTGCTTATACAGTGACCACACTTGGAATGTTGTGCATAGTTTTGATCACCATGCTTCAAAGGGAATAATGTAATTCAGGTGAAAATGCAGAAAAGGGAAACTAGAATAACCAAGGGACTTCAGCAACACTTCAGTGTGCAAAGGTTACAATGTTAGGCAGGTGAGTCAAACTGGAGGCAACATGATAGAATCATACCTAATATTGGACATGGTGTGATGAAAGTACATAGGAATTTAAAAAAAAAAAATCCAGGGGCATCCGATGAAGTCAAATGTTCAGAGATTCAGGACAGACCTAATCAAGTTCTTCTTCATACAGGGCATAGCTAAACAGTGGAATTTTCAACCACAAAATGAAGTGATGCCCACCAACCTGGATGGTTTTAAAGAGGGATTAGCCAAGCTCATGGAGAATACATCTACCAATGCCTATTAGTTCTAATTTCTATAGATAACCTCCAGTATCAGAGGAAGTACTGTATGCTACTCAACAGCAATTGATTTCAAAATCTGATGTTCCAAAAGCATGTTCATTTTTTAAAAAGAAAAAAAAATGCATTACAGAATAATTTGCTTAAAAGGGCTGCACACCATTAAACTGATAGGCCCTGATGCAGGTAACATTACTGGTGACTAAATCCTATTGAAACCAGAATGACAAGAAAGCTGAGATGAACTTCTGTTTCATTGCTTTCAACGGCACTTAGCCACAAACTTCATTAGCTGGATTGGTACCAAAGGCTAGATTAACTGTGGAAGTAATTTTCATGGGATTCCATGCTCAGTAAGGAAATGTGGGTGAAGGCTGCTTATTATCAAACCCTTCTTACCTTGTGATAGCATCGGAAGTAGGCAGCACGCTCATCTGAAAATTTCTCAATTCTTTTGGGCCCTTTGCTTGATGCTTTCTTGAAAACCAGCCAACATCTCTGATAAATCTAGAAAAACAAAATTCTCCATGACTTGCGTGCCACTGATATTTAAAATAAATCAATACATATCAAATAAGAGCATAAGGACATAGGAAAAACCATGCCAAGGTCCATCTGGTCTAGCACTCCGTACATGCAGGGGGAGGGGCAGCTTCCCATTGGATCCCCTCACGAAGCATCGGAGCCTCACTGTGAGTTGTCCATCCCAGGTCCTTGCTTACAACAGTAGCTGTCAAGAGGGATTCAACAGCAAGGGGAGCCCTTCTTGTCAATTAGGCTAGATGCTGTATATGGCAATATAGGGCCAGGAAAGTGTGGGGCAATGCAAAGCTTTCTCAAAATGCACTCAAAATGCACTCATTTTAAATTTGAAAAAGTAGATGGATTTGGGAATTGTTCGCACAACTTGCATGTTCAGTCGCTGTTCGTTCTGCACAATTTTCTCATTTGCACAAAATGTACAGCAAGCACTAGCATGAGTGTAAGCCAAAGACAGACAAGTTACAGGCTGACACCTGATGAGCTATAACATTTCTTTCTTCCTATTCCTAGTGTTTGCTTGTTTGTTTGTTTATGTTTGTACTGCCCAATAGCCAAGGTTCTCTGGGCAGTTAACAAAAGTTGAAATTAAATTTTAAAAAGACCAAAAAATGAATTAATTTAAAACAAAAAAACTATAATAGCACTAATGGAGGAATCGTTTGCTTTGCTTTCCTGCAGCTCATCTTAACTAAAGGGGAATTCTTGTGCCCCTTAAAAACACAGTGGGTTGCATCCTGCAGAATTAAACTCAGTTAAAATTGTACTCAGGGGAATCAGGCAAGTTACATAGCTTTATATTTATTTCAATGGGCCTAAGTTCAACTAACCCAGTCTAGTTCCAACCCAATGATTAGCAATCTCAATCTACATCTTTTTTCTAGCTGGCTTGTTAGGAATTTTAGGCCTTTTTCTGTCTAAACATGGATAGAATTGCACCATTGTATCTCTAAGTTACAGTATTACACATTACTTGAAGCTCTTTCCTTGCTCTTTCCAATTACTTCACAGCAGCGTGTTTTGCACCAGCTTCAAAAACCAGTAAACCAATCATAACATTTCTTTTGGTTAGAAGCCTGTGAACATTTAATGCAATGTTTAGTCATGCCATTGATACAGTTGGATTTGTTATAGAAAAGCTGCAGCTCAATCGTTCACCATCTAGACAGATGGTTATGCGGGGGATAGAATGAAAGCAGTACACCATGTTTAGACAACCAAGAAGAAATTAATTTAGCTGCATGGTTTAAAAAAACATAAAGATGTTACATGGGGAGGAGAACAAAATGGTCCAGTAGGATATGGTGTAACATGAACTTCATTTAGCAGTGCAAAAAGAACTTCACCAGCTGCAAGATGTGAGGTTCAAGGGTGGCAGATAGTGCATTAGATAGAGCTTTGGTATCCATGCACCTGAATTTACATGCATCTGTCACATAGGTCACCAAAAGGAAACCTCTGGTCCATGGACCCAAGAAGACCTATGTCGTTTCTTCTTCCAACCTGGGATCTCCTTCCCATCCACCAAGTTGGTGGGGGAGGGCTCTTAGCAGGTGATCAGAGGTAAGTATTTTCCTTTATTACTTTACAGGGAAAAATGTTTATCTCTGATCAGTTCCTGTTTGGAGATAATAGGGATTCCCCCCACCCCGGTCAGTGAAGGAGCAGGAAACTGTAGAATGATTCAAACTGGCTTCCTTCTGAGCTTTGACCTGCAGGGCTTTTATGACTTCCTTCTGAATACACAGGCAGAAGCTCACAGGTGAGTGATGGGTTGTTCGTGCTTATTTCTGAATAGAAATTTAGAATTGTGATGTCTGAGGTGCGTATCTGCCTACTTTAGGGCTGAGATGCGTGTTGCCTCTGTCCTAAACTTCCACAGGAATGTTGCCCCAGAGAACTTCTCTGGAATGGAATGTCTAAAAATTGCTTCCCAGTCCTAATTTCAACTCTCAGGGATTAAATTTCTAGAGCATCCTTGACCAAGCAACTGCACTTGAGTTGTGTTAAACTGAGATTCTCATCATTCCAGATAGCAGGGGCCTCCTTGATGGAAGCTGTAGTCCAACCCATCCTGAGGGCAACAGGTTGGGGAAGGCTGCTCTAGAAAACTAAGGTTAGGAAACTTAAATGGCATCTCTAGGGATCTCATATGAGTCTAACACTTACAAACCTTGGGTTTGCGCGTTCTTCTCCCTCTCTCTACTTCCAGTGTAGTTGCAAACAAACCATGAACTATTAACCATGAACAGGCTAGAACTTGTGCACACTCTAAAAACCCATCTCCAAAAATCTCCCCAAAAAATAAAAATAAATACACATTATTTATTTATTTATTTAAAACATTTTTATGCTGCCCCCATCGCAGCAAAGCCTTGGGGCGGCTCACAACAAAAACAAACTATACAAATATAACAATTATACAACAAAAATAATGCAGTAATAAGGCATGTATGAGGAAAAGGTACTGATCCTTCAAAAAAGGAATAGTTGAAACATTGTGTTGCTAAGAGATAAAAAATAGAATGCCCTAGGGGGACAACACTAGTAAACAATTATGATAGCATATGATTTAAAAAGATTGCAAAACTGCTATATGAATATTAGTCTTTCTAGTCTATTTAGAAAACGCAAATGGTAGGTATGTAAAGTATAAAGCGTAAAGTAATGTTGGGTCCCAGGGGATCACTACTGCCTAAAGAGCTGCTTTGTCGGTGTTGAGATGCCACGCAAACCTAATGCGTTTATAATTAAAGCTGACAGTACATCTTTCTCTCCCATTATGTACCCTTGAGAAAGGGAATACATCATTTTGTTAGCTGGACAGTTAACAAAGTATTTTGTACTTGGGAGAAGATGCAGGGGAAAAAACAAGCAAAAAGACACAGTGGTTTGATGGACTGGAATTTAGGGGTTTCGACATCTCATTCAGAGAATTTGGGTTAGTTTTGTGCAGTAGCTTCACAAAGTTCAGCTACATATCCATTTCATAGGACTGGGCCCAAAGCTAAAGGACATCAGCGATTGGACAGAAAAGAAACATATTTGGTAATGATTCTAATAAAAGATAGTAATAGAACTAATTATGACACAAAGATAGAATGTGCAAAGATGGAACATTCAGAAGTTGCAGTGAACAAGCAAACAAGAACATTCCTTATATGAAATCAGACTATCAATCTAGATCAGTACAGTCTACATCACTCTTCCCCAATCTAGTGTCTTCCAGGTGCGTTAGAAGTCAATTCCTATCAGCCTCAGCCAACATAGACAATGGTCAAGGGGTTGGAGCAACTCTTGTGTGAGGAATGGCTACAACAACTGGGATTATTCAGCTTAGAAAAAAGGCAGAGGAGGACCGGGGCTTGGGCCAGGGCTGGGGCTGGGAAGACAGAATAGAAGCCTTTAAAATTATACATGGTGTATAAAAAAGAGAGATAAGACACTTTTGCTTTTCTACCACATTATAGACTTCAGGGTTATCCCATGGAACTGATTTGTGGGAGATTCAATAAAACGTAAATGAAGAATTCTTCACACAGCACAATAGTGAAACTATGGGATTCATTGCCACAAGATGTGGTGCAGGCCACCCATTTGGACAGTTTTAAATTGAGATTGGACAAATTCATGGAGAAGGAGGTTATCAAAGGCTACCATACAATGTGGAAGCAGTTTTAAAGCACAGGATGGGGGTTGCAGGTTGAAGTAACATTCTTCCCAGCACAAGAAGTGCATAAGGCTCTCTAGAGAGAGGTATAAAACCAATAAAATTACCTAACTGCAGCAACATATACATTCATTCTATCTCATGCAGATGTCTGTAAATATTTAATCTTATGCCTATTTACACAGAAAAATATTCTTCAGCATCCATCATTCTTCAGCCATCCTGGCTTGTTAGAGAATTCTTGGCGATGTAGGTGAATTTTCTTATCTAAATATACAAAGGCCTGCATACAAAGAGGTTATAATCCTGACAGTGCTCTAACACATTTATATATGTATGTATTATTTCTATATCCCTATTTGAAGGGACTGCAGGTGGCGCAGTGGTTTAAACCGCTGTGCTGCTGGGCTAGTTGATCGAAAGGTCACCGGTTCAAATCTGCACAACGGAGTGAGATCCCGTTGCTTCGTCCCAGCTCCTGCCAACCTTGCAGTTCGAAAGCATGCAAATGCAGGTAGATAAAAAGGTGCCACTTCGGTGAGCAGGTAACAGCGTTCCGTGCACTTCAGTGTTTAGTCATGCCGGCCACATGACTACGGAGACTGTCTGCGGACAAACGCTGGCTCCCTCGGCCAGGAAATGGAGATGAGCACCGCCCCCTAGAGTCAGGCATGGCTGGACTTCACGTCAAGGGGAAACCTTTACCTTTACCTTTTATCCCTATTTGAGCTACAATGTTTTCTCTGTGTTTCTCATATTGCATACCACATGAACCATGACCAGGATCCTAAGAACTACTCAGTGAGAATATTGAGAGCCCCCCCACCACCACCCACATTTAAACCAAAAACTCCCTGTTCCATAGTACAAAATTCTTCCAAATGTTCCCAGTGTTTTCACTGTGGCTTACCAAGTAGCATTGTGATTTGGTCCTAAGGAAAGGTAACCCCATGCTTTTTGCCATATGCCTGATGAATCACATGGCTCTTTGGATCCTAGATTTTTGCATTTTTGAAAGTTTGCAAAAGAATTGTTTTAGACTAGTCTTCTCCAACCAGCGCCCTCCTGATGTGGGAGCTCTAATCTACATACCTGAAAAATGCCTGACTGGGGAAAGTTGACCAATCAGACACAAAGAGGCATTCCTGAGATCTCCTATGAACAAAGCCATGCAATCCACTGTTACATTGCATGATCCCTTTCCAAACCCTAGTTACATTTCATTTTTGTCATGCCAAGTTTGGGTACCAAAGATAGAAATCACCCTGAGAAAAGAAAGTTGATGCTTGATTGTATA